TCAGAAGTGTCTTATCTGTGGGCTACCTTCATGCTCTGATTGCTGCGGGTCCTTCACTGCAGGGTGGGGACAGCGGGAGGGTGGCACCCTCTCCAAGCACACATGCTGAGATTCCACAGAGGCAGATGACCTTGTGAGGTCAGAGACAATTGCCTGCAAAGATTTCAATGTCTGCCTACGCACTTTCACAGACAAGGATTCTGAGGAATGCATGTCCTCAACGGACCGACCATTTCGGAAGTATGTCATGAGGAAAGCCCGTATCTTCTTTTTTTAAAAAAATATATCTTATTGATTTTTTACAGAGAGGAAGGGAGAGGGATAGAGAGTTGGAAACATCGATGAGAGAGAAACATCGATCAGCTGCCTCACCCCCTACTGGGGATATGCCCGCAACCAAGGTACATGCCCTTGACCGGAATCGAACCTGGGACCCTTGAGTCCGCAGGCCGATGCTCTATCCACTGAGTCAAACCGGTTAGGACAAGCCCATATCTTCTTTAAGGAACAGTTCAGCCCCGAAGACATTGCTAAATACCTTCCAGAACAAGAATACCATCTCTGTCGGGCACTGGCTAGGAAAATGTACTCCTTCAAATTCAGTTTCAACAAACGCAGCGGAAAGCTCTCACTGTGTAAAGTGCCATGCTCAGCACAACAGAGGAACATAATGAGGAAGCCCCTGTCGGGCTACCCCTGGGGGGAGAGGCCCATGGAAATTTTAATAATACCATCACATGGGCCACAACTGAGAGAGAGCACCATTTCCATAAATTGGATATAATTCTATTTAAATTCCCTATTGTGGGTAATTTGCACAACATTTTCTTATAAGTCCACAGCAACATTCCCTAATGTAAACATACATCCTACAAAAATGTTTTTTATGTAAAATCATCTGCCATAGGTTTTCCTGAAGAGGAAATTCCAAATTATAAAAACAAATGTCTCAGTGAAAACATTTCCGAAAATATGGGTGGCATAACTGAAGTTCCACAGGATGCTAGATATTCTGCAAAATACATCAGCGCATGAGTGAATGAATAAATATATAAATTAAGCTTAGGGTATCTCTAAACATGTAATTTTGAGGAAATACCAAGTTAAGCAAAATGAATGTCTTTTTTTTTTTTTTGACTTGCAGGATTTCTTAGAACCTTTAAGGCAAAAATATGAATTGTAAGTATCTAAGAAGTAAATCTGATAGACAGAACTTCTCAAACTTACTTTTTTCTCTCAAACATTTTTCAAGACTCAGGCACTGTGGAACACCAGTTTGGGAAACACTGATCTGAAATGTTACCATGATATATGGTCTTTCAAAAGTTATGACAAATAAGCATCCTAACCCTTCAGATGGAAGAAAAGTGGGTCCACTTGACACATAGACCAGAGGAATCTCAACTGTGGTCAATCATTGCGAGCACTTACAAAGCTGGCAACTTCTACAAGGAGTAAAACACAGCTTTTCTCATAGTAATGGTTGCTGCTCATATAACCATTAAAAAGCAATTAGAACACAATAGCATATGGTTCTGTTTTGGATGCAGATCCTACATTGTATTTTTGAGGCTAATTTTTCCTTTTTATCTATTGCATAAGTGTAAAATGACTTGCACTCTGAATATGTATTTGTTGTGGACTGAATGTCTGTTCTCCCAATGTGCACATATTGAAGCCCTAGCCCCCAACATGACCATATTTGGAGAGAGGGCCTGTGAGGAGGTCATGCAGGTTGAATGAAGTCCTAAGAGTGGGGCACTAATCCAATAGGGTGGTACCCTTGTAAGTAAAGGATAAGGTACCAGAGCACCCCCCCCCAACCTCTCTCAATCTCTCTCTCTCTCTCTCTCTCTCTCTCTCTCTCTCTCTCTCTCTCTCTCTCTCTCCCTCTCTCCTTCTCCCTCTCCTTCTCCTTCTCCATATTCCCCTCTTGCTTACCCTCTCTCCCTTTCTCCCTTTAAGGAGGTCAGGTGAGCACACAAGAGGAGAGCAGCTGCCTACAGGCCTGGAAGAGAACTCTCACCAGACACTGAACCCTGTTGGGCCTTGATCTTGGACTTCCCAGCCTCCAGACAGTGAGAAACAACTTCCTGCTGTAAAAGCCATGAAGTCTGTGGAATTTTGTGCGGCAGCCCAAGCACATTAATGCAATATTGGGCACACCGCCAACCAATCCCCTGAAGACTAATCGAATCGATGGTGAGTTAACTGCGGGTGTTGAAGGCGGAACCCACCGAGCTATGGATCTCAAACAGTTAATGCCATTGACCACCTTCAGGTTTAGAGGAAGCATAAACCAACAGGAGGTTAGGCATCTGCTGTGTCATGAGTGTGAAGAATCATGAGGGCGAAAAAATGTTCCTATTAAAATGTTCTTTTAAAAAAAGTTGACCTTTATACCCTTAAAGCTTTAAAAACAAAAACAAAAATCCTCACCCAAACAAAATAAACGACAAGCCTTCTCCTCATTTTAAGACACTTTGTGCAAAAACACTTCCACCCCTGATCTGTTCCAGGCGGCATTGAGCTGCTGAGTTCCTACAGGCAGTGAAAGGTGTGCAAACACAATGCTGCCCCAGGGGAAGGCAAACAGGCTCGCTCCCTTCAGAAAGGCAAACTCCTCCGAGCAGTCTAGCATATGCCGGTTGTCAGGACGGGACAATGGAATGGCTGGTTTCCAGGCCCCCCTCAGAGCATCCCTGTCCCCCGCCCACGGGACCCCGCGGCCTGACACATACTGCAATGAGCCTCGTCGCTCCAGTCGTCGCAGTCGTTGTAGCCGTTGCACTGCAGTTTCCCGGAGATGCAGATCCCACTGGCGCACAGAAAGCTCTCGCCCCCTCCACAGAACGCTGAAAGGGGAAGAAAAACAATGTCAGAATAATGCTTTGGTTTTTTGTTGTTGTTTTTTTCCTTTTAAAAATAAGAGAAGCAAATAAAGAACAAGAAAAACTTCCCTTGCTGTTCAACAGATTTGTTTCTAAATCCCCGCAGTTTCATGGTCATCAATTTTCCTCTGGCCCTACAGACGCTTCCTTGTGACACGACTTGGAAATAATACAAAGCCCATTGGCCTCGGGAAAGCAAAAGAAATCGGGCCCCTGGGCTCGAGCGACAGGCGGCATGTGTGGAGCTCAAGAGAGCAGCCCCATCGATTGTTCAACCTCTGTAGGGACAATACCAAATGGGAGTATTTTTCTTAATAACTGAAAATTATTTCAAACTGAAGTGCTATTTATTGAACAAATACTTTTTAAAAGCTTTCAATAATAAACCACATATGGGTGATTATTAGAAAAAAAAGACAAAAAACAAAACCCCCTCTGGCTTCTAAAACACTATTCAATGTTGCACAGAGAAAGGTACAGTAAAACAGTCACCTGCAGTGTGCTCAACACAGGCACAGACTCCAGGTCCCTGCATTTAAAATATATTTACTCGCCTTAATAAAAATGCCAGTTAAAAACGTCCAAGTCTGTTCTTTGCATAAAGAATTTAAAATAGCATTAGCGAATCATATTTTCATTCTTTTCTTTCCCTTAACGCAGTTGCACTTTGGTATTATTTGCTTTTTAGCACTGTGGTGCTCATTTTCTTCTGAAAATTCAACAAATAATCCATTGTTTCAAAATTACTATAGACAATAAATATAAGATAAAAGCTTAGAACATTTTTTAATAAGAGAATAAATCAGCTCCACAAAGTGAGTGTTAAAACACACTTAAGTATTTGGTAATGTGTATCAAATGCCTTTTACATGCACATAACCTTTGACCCAACAATTTCATTTCTTGAATTTTATACAAAGGAAATTATTATAAATAAATACAAGTTTTTCTTTTCAGGGATATTCATGCCATCATGGTTTATAATTGAGGAAATAAATTTTGGTACCTCCATAAGAAGGAATACCATTACAGTCATTGAAAAGTATATTGTCAAAAATAATGTCCTGGAGCACAATTCAAGGTAATAAGTAGTAGAAAAACACCATATGGTAAAAAAAAAAAAAAAAGCATAATATAATTTGGCCTAAAAAGAAGAAAATCAAAGGTCACTGTGATTATCCCTGGTATTAGGATTAAAAGTAATTTTTACCTTCTTCATTGTATTACTCAAATCCATTGCATTTTTCAAATGTTCTTCTAATGACCATGTCTTCCTTTGTGAACTTAAAAAACCAACAAAAACCACCAACTTTTTTCATGAGTTCTCGATGCAGAGTACTAGTAGATAAATACAACCCTTGAAAACTTCTGTCTCTCTTTGTCTGCCTCCCTCACTGTCACCGCTCCCTGAACCACATGTTCCTTGATGAAATGAATCTTGTTGACCAGCTAAAGGGAACCAGGAAACATGCAACATTTTTTACTCAGAAATTGAAATTCAGAAAAGTGCAGACTCTGAACGCTTCAAGCTCGAGGCCCAAGTCTGTCAGAGCTCCCGTGTTCCTGGCCCCAGCAGAGGGGCGGCACCCGAGGGCTTCTTAATTCACATTTGCTAGGGAGAGTCACCTCATCTCAATGGGGCACAATACACTGGCACAAGGCAAAGAGAAAGTGCTATTCATGGATTAGTTCCCAATGCTGTCACAGAAATCAGAATTTCGATTTGCTGGCCATTAAATACTAGTTGATTTGGCAAGTTTCTATCATGCTATCACATGCAATCCTCACCATATCAACAACAAAAGTCTGGTTTTCCATTAAACCCCAGGATTTCCATATCAATACAAATCAGAGCTACGGACTTCACCTGCCAAAATATGAAAGGCATTTATATTTTGCATAGTCTTAGAGGGGGCAGCACAGGACTGTACCTGTTGCTACAGGTACAGACTCCTAAAGGGTGAAAAGGAAACCAGATATAAAGTGAAAAACGCTTAGATTGTACTAGCCGGTCTAGACAATATCCTTTCTCCAGGCTTAAGAGAAAATGTTCAAGGAATAAGTGTTGATCCTATTGTGAGGCTGTTTCTGTGTTAGACTAGAGAGTGCATGAATTCCATCTGTCTGCATTTCAGCAACCGCAATGCCTCAGAAGAAGTATTGCATTCCCCACCTTATGGTGCTGATGATTCCTCGGAAATGCAGCTGAGAGCTCAGCAGTAAATATCTAGACTTCATCTGTAAGGCCCTATATATTTTACTGCAGTAAAGCTATTTCTGGTGTATGGTTATATCAAATCTGGATCAAATTTAAAGCATAGCATTGCTTGCATTGTTTCGATTATCACCATCCTGTGGTGTCTTGGATGATTCTGCAGAAACTGACTTCTTCTGTGTGGTTCCTCAGTGGGAGGTGTGGCTGCCCTCGGCTTTAGGACATTGTCAATTGTTTCTTTATTCTTTCTTTAGAAGTTCATAGTTTCATTAATCAATGTTATTTTTGTACAATTAGAATAACTGTTGAATATGTTCTGTTTGATTTCTCCTTAACTTGTACTCAGAATTTCTACTTTTATTTGTGTGAAAGTGTTCAACTAAGCCAAGTACTTCAAACACATCTTATTTGGAATTTCCAAACAGCCCCTTAAGGTAGACAGGTAGACATTCTATCACATCTTCCTTGGGAGAAGTGGTAGTTTACAAATACAGGAGCTAGAGTGTCATGTGGTTAAGACAGCAATTGCCCAGAGCCATGCAGCCAGGAAAAGGTGAAGACCACCCAGAAGAGTGAGGTCTGTGCTCAGTCCTCCACACTATCCCCAATCCTTGTCTTTGGTACAGAAACAGCTGTGGTCAGTTCAAGGCCACCAGGGTTGGGTAAAGTTCAAACTTGTCTTTATTTTTCTCTCTAAACAAAAGATAATTGTCTGTCCTTTGGGTGGACTGGACCAGATGAGATGACATTCCATGTCAGCTCTGGGTTTCTGTAGAGATTTTCAACCATAAATTTTACTGTTTTATAACAATCATCTTCCAACAGCCTTTATTGAGACTTAGCCCTTTAGGTGACAAAGAGATTCCCGAGGCAAAGTCATGCTATGCAATCTTGAGACCATTTTCACTAACATCATCTATAATTCTAAGAGGTACATACTGGGCTTTAAATAAATGGCAGATTGGTCAAGGGAAGATTCATTCATTCGTTAAACAAATATTTACTACCTACCACGTGCTAGGCATTATTCTAGCACCTAGAAATATAGCAGTAAAGAAAACAAAAAGAATTTCCCCACCTTCATGTAGCATATATTCTATTCATCATCATCTGATAAAGATACTTTTACCAACTAAAGATACATCACACCAACGTTGACTTCTATCTACACATATGACATTTAAATAACATTAATGCAAAGATTTCAGTATATGGAGGTGCACTGCCTAAGATGTTAGTTTACCTTTCCAGAAGATGAAGTCAATTACAAATCACCTGAACTTGAACTCCATGCATGCTGAAGAATATATACCCGTGAAGATGATCAGCTCTTTTCACTATTCTTGTCTCTGGTAAACGGACTGCTGAAGTAACTGCCATAGCCTGAAATGACCTTTAGATGTTCTGCAACTATTTCCAGCCCTCTCAGTTCTCTCTGCCTGTGTATTATAGGCAGCATTTACTAGTATATTGGCAAAGAGTATTTTTCAGAAATTACTCACCAGTCTCTGTGTAGTGTCCTCATTCATCCTGTCTTGGAGCCCTTATTTAAAGTCTGAAGCTCCCATTCAACTCTACCTCTGAAGAGAAAGCTGACCTGTCACAGAGCATCATCACCTGAGCCTGTACTAAGAGCTTGTCAGTCCTTCATTGAACATGGTGCTTGAAATTAAGTTACTGACAACCATATTGCTTCTGCCTTTTACAAGGCTATTTAACTAGAGAAAGAGAATGAGTGTAATCTTTTAGCAGCCAATAGAAGAATTCCTCCTGTGGAGAGCACTGTATTTTTGGACATAATCCTATCTAATAAAGAGGGAATATGCTAATTGACCCTCACACCATCGCAAAGATGGCGGCGCCCACGGCCAATAAGGAGAGAATATGCTAATTGACTGCCACACCCTCAAAGATGGTGGTTCTCACAGCCACAAGATGGCCGGCAGGGGAGGGCCATTGTGGGCAATCAGGCCATCAGGGGAGGGCAGTTAGGGGTGACTAGGCTGGCAGGGGAGGGCAGTTGGGGGCAACCGGGCCAGCAGGGGAGGGCAGCTGGAGGTGATCAGGCTGGCAGGGGAGCAGTTAGGCATCAATCAGGCTGGAAGGGGCGTGGTTAGGGGGTGATTAGGCTGGCAGGAAGAAGTGGTTAGGGGCAATCAGGCAGGCAGGCAGGCAGGCTAGCGGTTGGGAGCCAGCAGTCCTGGATTGTGAGTCCCACAGGGATAGGGCCTAAACCGGCAGTCGGACATCCCTCAAGGGGTCCCAGATTGGAGAGGGTACAGGCTGGGCTGAGGGACAACCCCCCCACCAGTGCATGAATTTTGTGCACCGGGCCTCTAGTAGATTGATAAAGTCATTGGGTGAAAGATAAGATGTGACAGAGCAGAGTAAAAAACCAAAGTTATGCTCAAGTAAAGCAAACTTGCTCTTCACCCTACCTTCTAAGTCATATCAACTGGATGGTCCCTCATTTTGTTTAACATTAATATGTTTGGGTAGGTATGCATAGGGATATCAGATAGTTCTGTGTATAAAAAGAGTGAGGATCCCCAAGGGGAGAGAGAGGAGGGAGCCAGTGTTCTTGGCACTGCCAGGAGGGAAACATAAATAAAAAGTTGGCTGAGCCTCCCTGAGGGGCAGGGTATAGAGAAGATCCTTTGGAGGACAGAAATATCTAATGGGATATTTCAAGTTGTTTTCTGAGGAATGGGAGGGGTAATCACTTCTTCCATCTGCCATATGGAATCAG